CAATTACATTCTGCACTAAACCCTCCTGACAATTACATTCTGCACTAGGACCCCCCCAACGTGACCTCTTCCCACAGTGCCGCATAAAAAAAAGAACCCTTAGCATAAAAAAAGAAACCATTAGCATAAAAAAGAAACCAGGAGCATAAAAGAAAGAACTGCAAGCATAACAGAAAAAACCATTAGCATAGAAAAAAGCACCATAAGCATAAAAAAAGAAACCCATACCCCAAAAGCACACCAACCCCGCTGTGAGCATAAGAAAAAAAAACATTAGCATAAAAAAAACACCCAGCCCAAATACAACACTACCATGACTCCTTGTCAGTCACATAACGCAGGACTTATCAGTCACAACTGATCCACTCCATTTCGCACCAAAGGCCTGACCGCCCCATCACTCCTCTCTCCCCCCTCGCCTCCCAGCCCATGGCTGCGGCCAGGTGCTTCGCCTCAAGCAGAGCACCAGCAGCCTCCATCAAAGCGCCTGACTGGCTTCGTCTGCGGACGTGAAGGCCACCCAGGGAGGAGGCTTGGCTTGGTGTTTTGGAGATGTTTCAGGACATGCTCAGCGCATGAACCCGAAGGCTGTTAAGCAAAACGAAGAAAGAGTAAGCAATGAGCCTGGCCTGCTTGGATTTCCAAAAAACTTGCAAAACTACCACGCTCTCTAATTTATTGTTTTCACCCATTTGTGACTACAGGACCCTGATCTTGCACGCTTACGGTGCCTAGCCCACAAAAAACATAACAGTATCTCAATCAGCAACCGCAAAAACACCATGTGCAGACCATTCACCAAGCCTTTCACCCCTCCTTGCTCCCCCAACTTGCACCGGTCCCTCCACTCTTCCCTCGCTCTCGCTCTCCACCCTGCCGGAGCGAGGCGTTGGCCACTCCGCGCCGTAGAGACGATCCATCAGCAACTGCAAGGTCCCCGGCCTTCGACCGACGAGTCGACCGGTGTATCGGTCGACCGGTCGGTGGGACACGGTCGGACACGGTGTCGCGGGACACGGGGCGCCTTGGATGCCGAGGACTGAAACAAGTCATCCATGAGGATCCTGATTTTGCATCAGAGGATTCTGGGCAATTCTGGGGGAATATATATATGAGGACTATGGAATATGATGGGAATTATATAAGTATAGGAAGATATTGAAAGATGCTTGGAGAAGATTGGGCGGGTGAGGGTGGGTTGTTTCTATTTGTTGGATGGGTTCATCTGGAATTAGTTGGATTTGCTTGTGAGTTGGGTAGTTTGTAAAAACAAACATGTGTTTGTAGGCTTGTAGTTGCTTGGTATCGGCTGTATGGGGTTACCACATCCATCGCAACATCCATCCGGGACGCTTCACCCGAGCATACACAACAAAAAGCGGCCTCTTGATGCCTTCGAGCTCCAGCTTCACCGTCTCTTGGTCATCTGGCCGACATGACGGGCTGTCCATGTGGGAGAAACCAAGAAATGAGGCTGGTGGATTCATCAATTCTATTTAATTCCCTCCGGCCCAAAATGTCTTGGCTTTCAGACACGCAAATGCTTTCACGATGTTTCACGCCCGAAATGCAAGCCATGAGCTGTATGATTCAAAAGCGACTGATGATTCCTTCTGGTTTTGGAGACAGTCTTGAGTCGTGATCAAGGTGCTGCATCCCCAGTAAAACCCCTTTCTTCACACTGCTTCAAGCCTGGCTGCAAGAGATTTCCAGCTTGCAACACACAGCGATGTGCCCAAAGCCTGGCAACACACAATCCATGTGACCAGGGGTGGTGCCGAAAATGATTCGCTTTTCCCGATGTAACCAAGAAACCAACAACCCAAGTTGGTTGCAGTTGAAAGGCTGACCTGCACAGATTGAGCAAACCCCTGCAGCCAACAAGAGTCTCCGCATCAGATTTCAAACAACTCGGAACTCCTCCAACTTGGAGGATACGTCTTTTCACCTCGTTTTCACGTGGTGGTATGCTTGACAAGACCGGGTACACACATGGTAACACATCAGCTATAGCCACTGGACGCGCTCCGACGGGACGCGCCAACGGGACGGTCTGGCGGTTCAACTGATGGCCCAATCAGAGGGTGAGAGCTCACCCTGCCGGAAATGATTGTGTAGAGGTGGGAAATGGTGGGAATATTGCGAATCAACAAAAAAGAAGCACCTCTTCACCAAACCTGTTTCTCTTGCGAGCATTGATCTCAAACACGGACGCCTATCCCTGGCGGCCATCAGCTGCACATCACCTGAGAGTCGAAGAAAGCTCAGGACGAGACAAAGATCACAAAAGCCAGCCGCCGAATATAGTCGAATCTTTCGACATTACCAAAAACTCCTCCTGCAACGCATCAACCTCTGGTGTTCTCTAAGTTCACGAGTTGTTGTCCTCTCCTAGAGCGCTTCTAGTCTTAGTTCTGTTTCACCCTCCGCCCTGCGCAACCCACAGCGAAGCGGCAGAAGCTGCCCTCGCGTTGGAAGCTCCGGAGCTGCGAGACCAAGCGCTCCGCGGCCTCCCAGGTGCGATGTGGGGGGGCTCAGCCAGTGTAGCTCCAAGTATATAGCTCCTATATATATAGCTGATAGTTGGAAGCGGATCTTTTGGAGGGTCTATAAGTTCAGGGTCTATTTAATTAAAGACAGTACATAATTACATTTTATATATAACACCACTTGGAACTGTTGGCAGAGTCATGTATCTCATGCCTCCCTCAGCTCTCCCAACCCGACCATTTCCTCGACGTCACGCCGTCGGCCGAGTTTGAGGGGGGTTGATGCAACGTGCAACGTATATTGGTCCGTTCAAACGGGGAGTATCCCCATGTATAGTCTGTATAGTATCAATCCAAGGACCAATATGGACCAATATTGGGTATCCACGGTATCCACGTGGTATCCCCTCTATCCTTGCGCAAGGGAAAAAGGATGTAAAAGGCCATCAGTTCCCACTCACTAACATGGAAGTGGATGGCCCCTGAGAAGACCATTTTGGCTCTACAAACAAGGGATGAGCTCCATGTCCATGTTAGTGGGTGGGAGAGTATGCCATACCCACCCTAGATCTCCTGTCCCACATCGGAAGGTAGGGACAGACCACACTGGCACCAACCACCGAATCTGGGGATGTGGTTGGAGCCCTAGGGATATGCTTGATGCATCATCAACAGATTCCATACACTGCTTGGCCCATGTCGTTGCTTCTGCCAGGCGCCAACCTGCACGTCCGCCATGGTCAGTGCAGCCAAGTTCCCACAGGTGGGCGGCGTGGCGAGCTACAAGCTGCGAGCCGGTGTTCACAAGCATAACCAGCAGGTGACTGCCACTTGGTCCAAGAGAATTGGACAGAAGTGCCTCCCTGGCTGTGCTCTTTCTTCTTACTCTTATTGTTTTCGCGAAGGCTGAAGAGAACAAACAAAGGCCAACAAGAATGAGGCCGTCTTAAAAACCAGCCCGCCACACACACAACTAATTAGTGCGGGTTGGTCTATAGGGGTCTTTCTACCACAGGTTTGTAGTGGGACCGCCCCTGTGAAGATTCCTCAGACACAACCATGTGTCCTTGGCATCTGTATACATGCAAGGAACAGCATGCTTGGACCCACGCGTGGTGGAAGAGGTTGCCCCAGACACAACCATGTGTCCTTGGCACCTGTATACATGCAAGGAACAGCATGCTTGGACCCACGAGTGGTGGAAGAGGTTGCCCCCATGGCCCAAGCACTGGAATAGATTGTCATGGGAGCTTAGGACTTCTTGATGCAACTCTGTATCCCACTGAGCTTCACCTACTCTTCAGGTCTTCAGGGAGAAGCTTGCCACAAAAGCCAAGACATTTGACTGTTCAGATTGTTGCAGGCACACCAAACAAACGCCCCAAACAAACGGCTTCATCTCAATACCTGGATCTTCAAACGGCACAAATTTCTGCCGGCGTGCGCCTCGTCACAACAAAAAACGCAGTCTTTGGAAAAAGACGCCGTAACGGCATTTTTTCCTGAAAAGGCAATTCTTTGTGCCGTTTCGAAGATCCAGGTATCACCCCACCACCGCCTGCCGCGCGAGCTGGCGGAGAGAGCTGCCTGGGGTGAGAGCAGTCCAATCCACCGCTGGGTGCCCCGAACTGCTTCCCAGTACCCGGCGCCGGCCGCACGCACCTGGCCGAGTGAGACGGGACGTGAATTCCGGTGCATCGGTGGAAGGAGCTGGATCCAAACGAAGAACCATGTGGGGGGGTCCTTGTGGGTCATCAATTGTTTGTTTCCACGGATGGCAGGCTGGAGAGGCAGACGGAGGCTATGTCCGTCTTTGTTGCAGGACACCTTGAAACAGCTGAGGTGAGCCGAGCTGAAACCAATCGAAGTCACGAGGAGGACGTGTCCATCCAACCTGCAAGAGTCGCATCCAGCCTCCAGGAGTCACTGGGTGTCACCTTCGTGTCACGTGTCTGAAGCTACCGACCGATGTTTTTGGACAGATCGATGATCGAAGAAAAACCATCGATCCATAGCTTCCTATCCAAATATCGCTCCAACATCGTTCTTGAGGAAGGGGTGCTGGACCTCTCTTGATGTAACCAACATGTGGTCGCTTCAAGGAATTGTGGTCCGAAGCAGACCTTTCCGCGGCATGAATGATGATTGATACAATGATATATATTTCTCCGTTGACGCCGTTGACATTTCTATGGTTTTGCTGGACATCGCGGGGAACGTGTGATGGACCATAAGGTGAAACGAGGTCAAAGTGGGCTACAACTCCATATCGTTGTGCAGTAGGATCGTTTTACGAAGGCCTCCAACTTCAAAATAGACTCCGGACAAGAATGATGGTCTTGTTGATGAGTCATAAGTCTTGGGTTTAGGGTTAGGGTTATGGTCGTGACCCACTGCCCGTAAGCCCATGGATCAGGTATGGGTATGGTCCATGGTTCCAGCACCATGCGTGCGCCTTGCCCCAGAGTGAGGAGAGGCCTTCCTGGGCGGCCTCAGGTCGGTCAAAGCCCCCAAAGTACCAAGTTCAGGAATCCCAGTTGCAAGTTTCGTAAAGGTCAGGAAGGGTCAGGAAGGTTTAGAACTAAAGTTTACTACAAAGTTCAGGTCTCCCGCAAACTCCACATAGAACCTGAGAATTGACCGGTGGTTTCGACCATCTTCCGATTACCAACCCAATGGTTTTGGGGTTCCATGTGGTCCGAATAGCAGGGGAATAAGGATGGGATTCCTGAATTTTCGTTGTCGCTCCGGACTTGAGGAACCGCAACCACCAACTTCCCAAGGGATCGGACTGTAAACCGGGTGGCTTTGGAAGGTGTCCAGGATGTGCAACAAAATCTTTTCAGGCAACACCGATTCAAACACATCAAACAAAAACAGAACAACTTATCACACATAAACACAACAAAAACAAGACGACTGGTCAGATCGATCGGCTCACCTTTAGCATACTTTCCTCACCCAGCCGGGGGGGATGTGAATTCTGCGATCGGAGCGAGGCAGGAGCGCAGTGTCCACCATCTGGGCGACCCTCACGGCCACTGCGCTGTCGAGGTCAATGCCTGCGCAGTCGGGAAGTCCATCAGTTCAACCCTGGCACCTCGTCCAACACCCAAAGCTGTGGCTTGTAAATGTGTTGTTTTGTTCCTTTCTGATGTTTCATCGTTTGGTTCTCCGGTTTTTTCCGTAGGAAAATAAGTCCAGTAAGCATCTCAAGTTTTGCTGGTCATCACTGGTCACTCACTGACTGGTGCTTCGTAGTGTAGAACAAATTGTAGACCTCTCCGCCTAAGCAACAGGAACATCGAGAGATATAAACATTACAGTACCATTCATTTCCCACAGGATCCCAGTCACCACTATGTAAGGAACCAGGACTTCTAGGTCTGCGGCTTAAGTTTTTGGAACCACTGGTTACCAGCGAACTAGTGGTTGCCTGGGATCTCCTGCTTTATATAATAAAAGCAAGTAATGATGTCAACATCCCAAACAATACAACAACATCCTGGTCCAATTACAAGATCACCAACGAGACGAAAAGCAAGAATGAAGAAACAACAACTAACAATCAACAAGTCTTTGAACCACTGGTTGCCAGTAAACTTGTGGTTGCCTGGGATCTCCTGCGATATTGATATCGAGATCTGATATATGATGCCATCCAATCCACAAATGGAAGCCCGGCTCTGATGTCAAAAACCAAAGCGTTGTCAAAACTTCGACGAGCCAGCTGCCCTGGCCCAGCTCCATAGGTTTATACTACTGGCAAATCACCAGAGGCATGCAGTTTTGTAACTCCTAGGTGATCAGCCGGTAGTGTATGGGTGTGTCTTAAACTAGAGTCAGTGGGTTTAGTTGAAAATCAACATAAACAATAATGTAGACTCTTGATTAATACACCCCCTAATATAAAGAGGATTTTCAGTTCAAATGGCTGGGGTTATTAATCAAGAGTCTACATTATTAGTATCTAACTCAATTTTGCTTGGCCCTTCAAGCTGTTAGAGGGCTCTGCCAGCCAGCTCTGAACCCCCAAATCAACGGAAACCGTGGCGCTGCAAACCTTCAGAGTGTGTGTTCTACTCCCACCCCATATAGGTAGTCTGCTCTTGCGCTCCAGCTGTTGATGCACTTGAGAGGAGGGAGACACGAAAGGTAGGACAGCGGGAAGAGAAGAGAACGCGAGAGGCAGGAACAAAAATGCAATGTTCGACATGGTGATTTATCCCCTCGGAGGCGACCTTTCGTAAATATATGTTCATATGCACTCTAAATGTTCAAACATATGCTCTCGAAATGTTCAAAAAGGTTCTTAGGAAAACAAACTTGCCCCATGGCTCAGATCATCGGTGAGCATTGAATCGGAACATCATAGGATTTGTCCTGAAACCATAAGAGGCTCACGAAGACGCTCCCCAGGAGAGAATTGACGTGCTTCACAAAACAAACTCTAGGTATGTATCCCCTCGGGGAACACCTTTCGTGATTAGAATTTCATATTCACTCTTTCTAAAATGTTCAAGAGGGTTTCAACTATCCTGAAATCATGAGAGGCTCACGAAGACGTTCTCCAGGAGAGAATTGATTTTAGAGGGGGGGAGGGGGGGGGGTCTGTTTTGAAAAATCAATTCCAAGGGGGGGGGGGGGGGGGGGGTCTGAATTGAGCGATCAATTATTAGACCCGGACGTCCCAACACTTGCTTCGCAAGACAAACTCAAGGTATCCCCTAAAGGGCTACCTTTCGTGATTTGAGACATAAAAGGGTCAACGGACGAGTCCTTCGACGCTCAGCTCGCCTTCAGGCAGCTTGGGGAAGGGCATTTGATCATTGGGGCCCTGGCGAATTGCTTGAGGAAAGAATCCGCCAGGAAGGCTTGGAGTGAAAAGACCTGGACCCTCAGTCAGGCCTCGTTTCTGACGACGTTTCAAAGCTTCTCAGCAGGGTACTGTACTTTTTCAGAGGAACTAATCATGTATCTCGAGTGTTGGCAAAGTACATTGGAGGGACCAACGCAATTGAGAGAGAAACATGCAGCCTCAAGGAAATGCGGACATCGTATGTATCTCCATCCGTGAAGAAACGCACAATCGCACCTTCGACACCTGAAGACTAACGTTGGTCCTAGTAGAAACCAGTGACAATCGGATTCCAGGCTCACTCAGGCGAGCCAAACACCCGTTGGCTACCTCATGAGCCAAGCAACTCCAGTTGTAACTAGGGTTATTGGCCAAGCAAGGCTTGTTGTGGTGCAATCTTCCACATGATGTGCCCCCCAAAAGCCCCCCCAAACGGGGGCTGAACCTCAAATGAAACGCCCCAGTGGAAGACCCACGTGGCAAAACACCCTCTGTGAAGCAACCATGAAACTCATACAGCGGTGAAGAACATGATGTTCCTACTGATGTTCCTCTGTACGGCCAACAAACAAGGAGCAATCTGAAATTCCTTTTGATTCTTGTGCTGTAAAACGGCAAACCAGTGTCCTCCTGAGTTTGCAAAAGCTCAAACCGACCCACAACTGAGCGGACCGCACGTGCTGCCGCCGGAGAGCGCAAATGGCATACCTCAGATAGTGAACGGGTGGTTGCCGCCGAGGCCAACGGGTGCGTGTGAGGCCGCGAGGCCGTACAGAGTACTGCAGTACTGCTGATCGCCGACAGTACTAGACATCGTGAGAAATGCAATACCAGTTATCCCAACGACTACTATAGCTATATATGGCATATGGATATATACGATATATATATATATATATGTATGGATATCTAAGAGCAATTCAATGAATACGTTAACATAGTTTAACAATGTACATGTGTTACATGTCAATGTGTGTATCTGAATACATATGACATGACTAAGGGAGCAACGGAGCATCATTGTTTACTCCCAACATATCAACAAACATCAACAAACTAAATACGTCGTCTCGCTCTCTATCGTCTCGCTCTCTTGTTGCTCGCTTGATACTCAAATATACTCAATGTGCACGCACTGGGTGGAACCATGTGGGGGAGAACCCGTGCACTCGGATGTCAGGCCAATCTCTTCTGACAAAACACTGAAGAAGAAGAGATGTGGGTCCACTTCTTTTCTTTGTTGCTTGCAGCATCGAATTGGTCGAAGAAGTGCAGTGTGCACCTAATGCACCTAGTTAAACGTGAGACATGGTGGGTTTGAAAGAAAGGTGATTCTTAGGGATTGCTTTTGGGGTACTTGGAGAGTCTATAAGATAAAGCAAACATGTTATCCCAAACTCGTATGGGTCACTGGTCTTTGACAGCGATCAAGTCCATCCCAGCCAACACACCTGTTGAAGTTGCAACTGTGAATCCTTCAAGTCCTCCACAACATGTGCACTGGGAATTCCACATGTTCTGATTCTGCTGTAGCAGGCCTCACTGGCCTAAGAACACTCAGTACACCTGTCCGTGTACTGAGCCCACACACCACACACGAACCACATCCGCCACCTTCTCCATCGCTCCCAGCGACGCCCTCCGCAGCAACAGCTCCAGATCCACGACCAGTGGCCTTGGTGAGTTCGACCCGTTGGGATCCACTGGCACCCTCTGAGGCATCCCCCTTGACTGGGGCAACATCCTGCTATAGAGGACCAATCATGGGGGATTCGGGATCGGCATGGTTTTCTGTGCTCGACGCTAAGACGTCGAGTCGAAGCTGAGGTACGGTACCGAAGCTGAGAGAAGTCTCCTTGGAGGCATGGCCCAGATTTGATGGATCCTCATGGCGAGTGCCCGAGTCTGGGGCATCTGTATGATCCTTTTGATGTCGTCCATGCAAGTCCTCATTGACTCAAGACATATAATGCATAGCAATGCTGGGTGTATCCTCCCGATCCAACCGGTGGTTCAGTGGGTTGTCTCTGATAGTCCACTGGAAGGGTTTTGGCACATGATGCACATGTCCACTTGAATCCTTCACAATCCCTTGGGACGAAAACAGACTGGACCGACCAGCTAAACCCTATAGGCCCTATAGGGTCCCTTGGGACCAGCTAAGCTGCCCTTCTAACCACACGAACACTTCTTCCGATCGATCTTCCAATACTGCGGAGTGGTTATTTTCCCCTAGTACATCTCTGCCGCAGTTGGAGTGTCCCGAACCGCCTGCAGAGGGTCCTGCAAGGGTCCTACCTGCGGAGTACATCTCTTCCGCAGGTAGGACCCTTGCAGTGTGAGAACCGCCTGCGGCAGCCACGGCCTCCCACCCCATTCTCCACGGTTCTTCCCGCCATGCCACGCCGCCAGCAAGGACTCGGCCAGGCCGCCCACGTCGTCGCGCTGGCGCGATTGGTGTTCATTCGGTCAGCTGAGCATGGAGCAATTCCGTGGCTTACAAAAGGATGTTTGATGAATTTTGTGTGCCAAGCTTTTTGCTTGTAGAAATTGACCTCATGCTTCAAAAGGCAGCTGTAATGAAAGTCAGTGATGAAGCCAGAATTCCTACGTCCACACATGGGACACAACTGAAAGAACTATCCCAAACCATGGATGCATGGGTCTTATGCATACACTGACCCCTAAAACCACCCAGGTAACAGGCCATCCATCTTCTTGGGGGTGGTGTCAAAGCTCACAAAGCACAGATCTAAAGATCCGGATCCGGGTTTCCACATCAGGTGAAGGTGTTTGGGTGAGTTCATTGGTGTGTGTTTTTTTTTTCAGACCCTTCTTTCGGATGTGGCACCTGTGCCCGTCGGACGTGGTCCGCCTGCAGCAAATCCCCTCGCGTCAGCAAGAGCAAGGCGAGAACGAGGTCATCCGCAAACTGGCGCGCTCAGTGGCCAAACAGCGGTCAGGTTGGAGAAAAGATAACAGTGAAACCAAAACATAAACCAACTCCAGTAATTACAAGCAGTAGCAATGACATGCACTATAGGAATCTCATGGTATTGATACTGATCTGCAATCACTGGAAACTCCATGCCACGAACCAAATTCATGGCTTGGCTTTGTTTGACACTCCCTGTCACAGGGTGTTTGTTGCGACTTGAGAGAGAGAGAGAGAGACAGGCCACAGGGAAGCTTACTGTATATCACCCAGTGGTTTTGGTATTAAGGGGAAGTCGCAGTTTCAATTTTGCTCTCAATTCTGCATCGAGGTTGGCCGAGTGATTTCTGGATTCCTCAAGGATCCTCCAGTCAACCCAGTTCGTTTCCCCCGCTTCGGCCCCGCTTCAGCCCCGGTCGTTCCGGTCTTCGCGCCTCGAAGCGGCGGGGATCGGCCAAGAGCGCATCCCAGAGCCGAGCCTCGGAGGCCGAGAGACGAGTCGAGTCGAGGTCGAAAGGCTTGGGAGTGAAACAACCAACGTGACCGGGCTTGTTGGTCTCAGTGTTTCTGTTTTGTGTACACCACCTGTATACCTGTATTCTACAAATCGATAAAGGGTGGGTCGGAGGGCACGTTTCGTGAGAAGGTATGTGTGTAGGAAAACACATTGGAAGAACTAGTAACTAGTTCTGCTTTGGGGTTGTTTTGGAGTGTGCTTGTCATCACTTGGGTTCGTCTCGCGCTATCATGTTTGTTTATAATCATAATCATGCAAATGGCATGCCCTGGAAAAACAATTTTCCTCGGTACTAACAGGTGATTTTCCGCTTCCATGATTAGTTCAGGCAGTTGTAGCTCTTGTATACACCCAAACACTCATCTACCGACCAGCTGCACGCTCGCTTACACCGAGGACCCAAACATCGAGTTAGGGGTGTCAAAGTGTCCTAAGTCGAGTCCAGTGTCCTAAGTGGGTCATTGGCTTTTGTCATGAACATGAACACCAAATTGACTAGGTACCAACCACAAAATACAAAAACTGAAAACATTTAGAAGCAGCAACTCTTGCAACTGAGTAGACATGTGAATTATCGTGAATTCATATATGGGCCCTACAAATATGTTAGAACTCATTTCTATCCTTTAAATCACTATAAAATAGTCTAGTTGAAAACACGTCCAACAAAAACAACACTGGGAACATTCAAAAGCTCATCCCGAATGGTTGACTATTCCAGCATTCTCTTCCCGCGTTTATTCTCCTCTGACTGGCAGGGTAGCCTGAAGGTCTTTCGCTTCCCCCAAGTGTGTAGTTGGGCAGTTGCTCGAAGACATATAGTTTGCAGTACAGTATATATTATATACATTCCTCGAACCTCCATGCCGCAAAAAAAAAGTAACAAAGGTTTTTTGATGAAAAAAAGTAACAAGCAAGAAAAAAAGTAACATTTCAAGAAAAAAGTAACAAAGCAGTCAGAGTGAAAACTGGAAGTCCGAGAAAGAGATGCCGAATGCCATTTTCCCACATGATCAGGCTTTCTTTCGCAAGTGTTTCTTGACTCTGGTGAGTCGAGCCTTGAACCCCAAACCATATCGTTGCAGGGTCCTTTGTGTGCACAGTCGGCTAGAGACTCGCCTTGAAATCCTCGAAATCCTTCCAATAAAATCTTCATTGACTTCACAATTGAAGGTAACAGGGTTGAGGATAAACTCATCTCCCTGGTCTATATGTTGTTTTGTTTCGAAGACAGTCTCGGCCAGGCTATGAAACTTGGGTCTCATTCCAAAATATGGTTTCCCCAACTCCAAAGCAAATTGGGCAGCATAGTTGTACGCTCGAAGGGCCACAAGGCCTTCTAAGTACATAAACTCTGCACACTTCGAAGGGAGCCACAGGTCGTGACTGTACTGCACGCTGATGAAATTCAAAATGCTTTCCGTCAGCTGCAATACTACCCTCAAGATCGGTTGGTGATCAGGTGCTTTGATCCCCTTCAAGCACAAAAGGAGATACCACTGCAAAAACATCAGGACCATGGTGCAGTCAGAGCCTTTCCCTCCGAGATAAGGAAATGGAGAACCAGTGACATGTAGATTTGCTTTGGTGAAATGCTTCAAAGACGTTGTTTTGTGCTCCGCTGCGCACCACATCTTAAACATCATGAAAGACCGAGACAATCTGTCAGGGAGATTCCGAGTGTCCCCTTCCCAATCAAAATATGTCAAGTGACATAGGAGTAGCAGGACCGAGGCACATATCTCCCTTCCAAAACCATGTTTCACAACATGGAACATGTCCCTCCTGTACAGGCTCGCGGGGAAAGAATCACTGAAGGGTATGATGCTCAATGGTGGAGGCATCGATGCCTCCCAAGGCACAGAAGCTCCAACCTGATGTATGCCATCACCCCAGAAGATTATAAGCATAAATATACAGTATAGTTCCCGAGTAGATGGTGCAAACTCAAGATGTCCTTTAGATGGGGGTTCATACAAAGCACCTCTCAGGGATTGCGCCATCTACTCTGAAACTACTGTAGTATAAAGTAGAACGTTTACCCATGGGGTCTAGTTCAACCATAGTTACTTGTCATTTGTTCTCGGACAAGTAACACTGGGAAGCCAGCACGGAGAATCGCTTACATCCCCAAAGTTGGATGTGTGGGCATCACAGTATGGGCACATAGGATTGTCATTCACCTCTCCGACAGTCATATAGCTGCGCAGGAACTCACCAGCATGGACATGAAACTCAGCATCTCCCTTGCACCCTATCAGAGCAAAGAAGAAGTTCTGGTCATCCACACACACGCCATCTTGAAACAGAGACCGGAAGCAGTTGGCAATGTCCTTCAGAACTGCAGGAAGAATGTCAGAGTTGTCTGAGAACACAGCCCACGGCACCGCTGTAATTAAGAATCGAGATAGAAAGGAGTGGCCTCACATGCACAAACCCTGGACACGGATAAACCGATGAAAACCCCTGGAACAGGAGAGGCTTTATAATAGCAATTGCGACTTTCGCAACCCGATAAAGGTGGATGTTGCTTGAACAGAAGCCCAACCACCTGTCAAACGGCACCCCAACAACCACTCATTAGCACACCACAAAAAAAACTTCGATCAACAAGACTATAGAGTTGCCCAATGTGTTGTGCATTTGCACGTCGCCCATGGAAGCACGTTTGCGGCGAAGCTCCACAGTGCAGGCCCCATCCAAGTCCAGGGGGGGTCGGCACACAGACAGATTGGACCTTCGCTCTCCACATGTTTGAGCTAGGTGGCCCTCCTCATATCTGACATTTTTCTCTATGGGTTCCAGCGCGCTTTCTCGCAAATCTTTGGGTAAGCCAAACACAGCCTCAAAGGAGTAGACTGCAATTGGTGACTTCTTCAATGTTCTCCCATTGTCCCCATGCATGCAGAGGGGGATTACCCTCCCAAGTGAGTCATCACCAAAACGCTGGAAAACTGCATGGTCCGGTTGGGTGCAGCGATAGCGCTGCCAAAAGGTTTGGCAACGTTGGGCAGCCGCAGGGCCTAAAGCATCACCCCCCAGCAACACCTCAGGGTGATTCTTCAAGAGGAAGGTCACCATGTCCCTTACCTACCAGGGTTTGATGGTCCAAGTCCAAGTTCCGCAAAAAACAAGCTTTTACTTCGAGCCAGCCTCACCCGTTTAGAAGGCACATGTATTGACAGCTAGACTAACCCAACATGATTTAGCAAACCGTCACCTTATAGCATGGGATGCTGGTGTGCAGGCCGCCATCTTGGGGGGGAACTTCAACGTCGCTGATCGGCACACGTAGTGACAACCAATACCTCCGAAAAAGGGCATGGGCATCTCGTTCACTATTTTTGGGGTTGCACTTGGAAGCCGCATGCATCGCATCATTCTGCGAGCCATCCGCTATGCAGGCCCTGGCCACCACGCCCAGCCGCCGAGCAGGAGCCTGGGCCGGGTGAAGTGTGAACCAAATGTTAGACACAGGACACCCTCTCAGTTGACTAAGATGATGCACTGGCAGGTCAGCAATGCACCAAAGGTTTTTATATATAAGACTCCCACACCCTCACCCACATCTTCGGCTAGAGCTGGCAGAGCATGGGTTCGGAGGGTTTCTTCACCTGGCTGAGATTGGGGCAGTGAAATCAAAACCTGTTTGTGATGCCATGCAATTTGGAGCGAAGTCAGAAATGCAAAAGCAACGCATGGATTTTCACCACTTGCCGGCTTCAGCTCCACATAGGGTCAGTTGCCCTGATGCTGTTCTCATTTCGTTCTCCTAGATTTGCGGCTTGTTGTAGGTTTCTCCGGTTCTTCTTCCTGCTCTGGTGCTGGTCTCCCTTTTGCTTTTGCTTTAGTTTTAGCCTTGCCCTTGCCTTTCGGCCTTGCAGGCTCACCTCCGGATGACTTTGGGGTTTTGGGAATCACAGTCCTGTTGCAACGAGAGTTCCTCTGACTTGAAACAGTTCCTGACTGAAGATTCAGAACCTTTAAACCCAGTCCTGGCTCGCTGTTCCAAACTCCATGAATGGAGGAGCCTTGGGAAGAGAGGAGCCGCAAGTCCAACCAGGCACTGCAGGGTAGAGGTGAGAAGCTTTGGGGGCAGGACAATGTTCGACCCTCCTCCATCATGGAATCCAATTCCTCTTCTTGCCTTGGTGTGTTGAGGCCCCTGAGCTTGATAGGGAATCATGAAGCATATCGGCGGTGTTTTTAGGGGCCCTGAGTTTCTTGCTTCTTTGTAAAACCATCCAAGAGGGTGTTGTTTTGAAGCAGATTCAATTTATCACAGAGCTTGTCCATCTTGCCGTACATCTCCTCAACCTTCTCCTTCATCCTTACAACAACGTCACACCACAGGCACTCCAAAATATGCAGCCCAAAACTTGAAACGTACCCCATGGTGCCAATCGCAGCCATGCAAACAAGACTCTTCGAGACAATGGTTGAGCTCGAGTTCGCAGCGGTCATCTCTTTTTTACACTCGTCTAGTTTTGCTAGCCGTTTGGTCAAGCTTTGCACAACTTTGGGCAACAAGGTAGATCGTTTTTCAGCCTTTTCCGTGTCTGGGAATCCCATGCGCTTGAGAGTTTTCAAGTTCTCAACAATTGATTGCGGCAGCGAACCGCCGCCGCCATCACCAGGATTCTCACCAGCAATGCCTGGCAGAGCGCAGACTCATGGAGGCCCGCAACGATGGTGATGTGTTTTTGAGGAAGGTATCCTGAGTTCATGATCCTGTCATTTGATGGTTGAGTTGACAAAAAAGAAGGCCTTGCAATGGTGCTTGAAAATCCATTTCCATGGCAATGCCATCCGTTTCAGTGGCATAGTCTTGCTGCTCTGAATAGGAAGCTGTGGCACGCTCCCTGGGCTCCAAATCTCAAAAGAATCCCTTGTTTAAGAATAACTAGATGGCCCATTACTTTTAGATCATATATTCGTTCATGAGCTGAGGTATAGGGCTTA